ATACATACATATGTATATAGTATAAATATATATATATATAGGTAGATATACAGTTGATCTACACATGCTTACGCGTACGTGTGTGCATATACAGAGAGAGAGAGAGAGTGCACCATTCTATATGTATATATTTGTAAATACAAATACATGCACGTGTGTAGATGTGTCGGGTCAATCTGTCTACCCAGCTATTTCATTGTGTTTCTCTTTCGGGGTGCATTCAATGGTGCATGCTACAACTAACTGGCACTACGTGCTACCAGTAAGCTAGTAAGCCGTAGTTCTCGTCCGCAGGGGCATGGCCCAGGATACTGTTACTGGCTGACATCACTGCCGAAACCGCCATTCCGATACCAACGGCTGAGCCACGGGGTGCAAACAGCGCCATCTGGTGGTCAAATCTTCCGTGCCCACGAGGAACCAAAGAAATCTCACCCTAGGACCCTAAACCGAAACGCGTGTCCAACAAATCTCTATGCCCCAAAGTGTAGGAACCTTGAAATTACAGTCATTCTGCAAGTAGCAGTGCCGCCGGAACTGTCGAAAGTCGTATCTGTGCCTCAACAAAAACAGCTCGAACGTCTGGCGAATCTTGAAAAAACGCTGCCAATCTGATTGCCATCGCCAGCACAATTCTCAAGATCTTAGCCAATACACTTCTTGCTCTTGTTCCTTTCGCTCTGTTGTTGCAATTGTCTCCACTTTCCATTCCTGTCTCCATGTCTTCAAGGCTTCCAGCAAGCTTGGCCAGTGGAGTTGGGATTTGGTGGCTTGTAAGCAGTAGGATGCCTCTTATCAATTTACAGTGCGTGCAACAAGAACACTGGCAATCACACGATAGAAATACTTCGAGGATGAAGAAACTTGTTGATATGGTCGTCACAACACCCCAACGACAACCGGAATGGCGAACAGGAGCAATAAGCATGATCCGTCTTCTTCGCCTCCTACCGTCTTGGTGTTCTTGAAAGGATCTTGCTAGAATCCCATGTAAGCTTCGTCTGGCGAAACATGCTTCAGGAGCTTTGGAGCCTCAGGGCTCACGGATACCATATAACTAACCCTAAACCCTAAACCCTAAATCCCACATAACTGCAAAGCTTACCATGAGGGCATCAGGGTTGCTATCAAGGCTATACAAAATTTGGGGCTTTGGGGGAGATGGGGAACCAAGCCTCATCTTGACCTGAATGACTCCCATCACAACTCTTTGCTTACCCGATCACAAGCTACATCTTTGGCTCCATGGGACAGCTAATATTTTCGGAGCTGATGTTCAGCCATGCTTGTGCGGTGGATCAAGTCTTTCTTGGCCCTTCTCCTTAAGGATCGAAGCCTTTAAGGGTTGAGGGCTTGAATGGTTTCGACTCGCATGCTCACACTGGGCGGGCACGGATTCACAAGGTCGGTTTAGAGGGTTGCGGTTTCGGGTTACCTGGTTCTTGATTGAGGGTTTTGTGGTGTTGGGTTTGGGATAGAGGCTTTAGGCTCCAGGGCTGGAGGCAGTCCGGGCTCCGGGTTCACTGATTCAGAGTCGCACGTTTTGGGATTCAGGTGTAGGGCTACGGCCAGGGTTCATTTTGGGCTCTAGGGTTTCCTGGTTTTGGGTTAGTAGGGCCCAAAGGCTATCTGCCTCGATCCGCAGCCTAGACGGCTATGGTCCCACCGAGTTGGAGGGCTGCAGTCTGCCTGGGTCCCTGGGTCACGGACAAGCCAGGCGAAGCACTTAGGGTTTAGGGTTTAGGGTTTAGACACTTCCGGAGTTACGAGATCAGGACTCATGATGCGGGTAGCTCTCTACATTGGGGGCCCCTTTTAGGGTCCTTTTTAGAAGGGTGCCGCACTATATTGGGGACCCTAAACGGGACCCTACTCCAGAGAACTACCCATGTAGGGTTTTGGATGCAGGGCTTCGGGGGCCCAAGAGCTTCATGCTCCTTTGGATGTCGGGACTTAAGTGTTTGTTGGAGAAGTGGGATTGAGGGAACCGATGGCTGTGGTTGGTGGAGGCAGGGGAGCTGTGAAGCCAAGACATGACAAAGAAGATTTACAGGCCGTCCCTGTAGCCCCAAAGAGCCCACGACTTCACAGGATGAGGGAGTTCATAATCAGAAATCCTGCGTAAGTCCTCAACCCCGAACTCTAAACCTGCAATAGACATGTAGGCGTCTTTGCCTACAACTTGCGGTAGTTGAGAGGCCCGGGTGACTGAGCCCGATTCCCAGGGACTCCTCCCAGAGACTCCAGAAACCCCCCGAATCCAGCAATATACTTGAAATATACCACGGCATCCTTAACATGATGCCTATCGAGCTCGAATAAGGGCTATCAAAAAAAGATGCCTTCAATTACAACGGGGCCCGTTTTTACGTGATTTCAAGTCGATTCCTGGATCTTCGGCTTCCCGGAGTCCCTGGGCTGCTGATCACTTGCCGCCGCCAAGACCGCCAGAGCCACGGGAGGCTCTTCTTTCGGGAGAGTCGCCGGCGCCGGATCGGTCGTAATTTTCGGAGTTTCCTGGGCCAGTAGGGTTGGCGTTACATACAGGGTTTAGGGTTTAGGGTTTAGGGTTTAGGGTTTGGCAAAGGTGATTCTACAATGTTATCATGGCATTCTGAGGGCTCTACAAGGGCTTCCTCAAGCTATGCCTCAGGCCTACAAATCATCCTGTCATGGTGGAGGCTTACGCTCACGCTCTCGAGACTCACTGTCTTTTCTGAAAAAGTCTAAGTTCTCCAACCTGGCACTGTGAAATTTGGCGCAACACACGCAGACCGTTGCGGCAGCAGAGACCCCGCCCCCTGCGCGTAAGTCTTTTAGCAGGAGCTCAGGCTGAACACAATGGGGACCCAGAAGGCCTTCAAAACCAAATCGCAAGCATCTCTGAGGCATGAACCCTAAAACTTACGTGAAACCTAAAACTGGGAAGCCAAATTTCAACAGCCAAAAGACACACACACACACACTCACACACACACACACACACTTCACACTTCACACTTGACACAGACAGACAGACAGATAGACAGGCAGGCACAGCATTGCAGCTAGATGGAGTTCACGGTCTATAAGCCTACCGGGCATAGAAGCACCCACCGCAGCTCCGGGCAAGTGGCGGACGTGCTGTGGTCCAGGAGGCGTCATACTCGTGCCTGCGCTCTGCTAGCCCGCAAATCCTAAACCGGAAATCTGAAACGTCCCAAACCATAGCGATGCCAGAGCAGAGTCGACTTCCCATGGATTCCTTCTATCTGGAGGGCACAACACCCAGTGCATACATAGCTGATGATGATATTGAGAATCCGTAGCTGGTGGGATTGGGGGACTTGCAGTTGGGACGTTTTTGATGACATAGGCTGTGGAGCTGCATGAACTGCAACCCGTTGTCCCCAAGCCCGAAACCCTGAAGCCTAAGAGCCCTAAACATAAGGATGCTCAGGTCAAAGCCGAAAGCTTGTGGTTTCAAGACTTCCAACCTTAAGAGCTGTTGGGGCGGCGGGGGAAAGTGGCAGAAGGTTCCTGGACTCGCCGGACCCTGTAAGTGGGGTTAGGTATCGAAATAATGGAATATTTCATTATGTTTTAGTATTTGGTAATGTGCTATATAAAATGGGTTCTGGGCTTCTTGGTTGGGCATGAAGAGGTGTACTGCCGATGGTGCAAGAAGTCTACAGGACTGCAGGACCTCCCGAGCCCCAAAACTCCAAGGGTTACTACGGGCACAGCAGCAGCATCTGATCCTCGTGGGGTTTGAGCGATCTTGGGATTTCGTGTTCCAGGTTTTCGAAGCTTCCAACAGAGAACCCTAAACCCTTTTCAGCATGGGCTTGGATTGTGTGCCAGCGAACCCTAAACCCTAAACCCTAAACCCTGAACCCTAAACCCTAAACCCTAAACCCTGAACCCTAAAAACTAAACACCGCCGAGGTCCTAGAAGACAGATGATCTTGTCCAGAGTCGGCAGCTTGTGCAAGTCGTAGTGTTTGTTGTTGGCCAAACAAGCCTGGGTGGGAAAGGACTGGACTCTGAAAGCAAGTGTCTGGCAGAAACCTCACTGCGCCTTTTCGTAGCTTTGACTGCATTGTTAGATGATCATGCTACGTTTTGAAAAGAACATGTTATTGAGTTAGTCGGTTGTGTCTTATGCTGGTGAGGTGTGTATATATATATATAGGTGTATATATATATAGAGAGAGA